TTCCGTTTTATTGTCCATTGAATTTTAATTTTGGATATGCTGGTAATTGCCGTTGATTTTTGTATGTACCAGAATAAGTCAGTGTATTTTTTATAATGTATGTATTAATCATTTGTCGGAACCGGAAAAATCGGACCACTATGGCAAATAACTCCCATACAGCTAACTTCTTCATTTATGCAGCTATAAACATCAAATGAAATTTCGCACTATTTTCACTGATTATCAACAGAAAGTGTACTGTAAAAATAACAAAGATCGAATCACTATAACCTATTGCCTCCGTATAACCGATTGTTCAGGTACAGAGTTTTACTGTAAAACTAACCATACAAAGTCTACGTATATCTTACGAGCCAATTCAACAATATCAATATGAAATACGCATATGAAAGCTAACAAAATTCTTTATAACCGGTATATAGATCACTTTTCAATAAATCTGATAGTTTCGAACAAATTAATTAATCATTCCAGATTTTTTGTTTTTTTTTTATGAAAAAATCAAGAAAAAACAAATATTAACAAGAGGAAAATTAAAAAAATAACAGGTTCTGTGTAAATTTTTGCATTCGTGCCTGTTGGGTTACAAAAAAATCAAATATTAAGAAAATCTATGGATAATTAAAGAAGTAATGAGTTGTGAAATGAAAATGCGCAAAGATTTTTTGTATGAAATATGGCCGGAAAATCGTCTTACCCAGGTGTACGTGGCGTATAAATAACCTTGGGTGTATTCCAAAACGTCAAAATACAAAGCATCAGTCTCTTTTATTTCTAAACCTGACTAGAAGAATAAGTTTAACTTGCGCAACCTAGTAGAAAAACTAGCATCTAACCGTGGTTGCGTACATTTGACATTAAAATCTAATGAGGTCTAGAAATAAAAGAGACTGATGCTTTGCATTTTGACGTTTTGGAATTCACCTTTTCTTTCCGGATCATTTAAAAAAAATACAAAATTTTCTGATTTTCATTTCACCACTCATTATTTCGTTATTTATCCATCAATTTTCTTCATTAGTAACTTGTTTTTTTTTCGTAACAGAACAGGCTTTAGGACAAATGGAAAAATTTGGCACAACGCTTTTATAAACTAACAATGTTGTGTGTCCAAACACCATTTATAGCAAAGGTATTATGGCAAAGTTTCTATACAACCTAGTCTATATATCATTCTCGTCGTTAGGTATCATATCAAAAACATACAATTAGGCTCTAATAGATGTCGCCTCGCCGTAAGTACTTAAATATTGCGCCTAAAAATATGCACTACATACGCTACAGCGGAAATGGACGACACGTCATTTCTTTAAATGAAATTAATTGCTTCTATATGTATGTATCTACATATGTATGCACATTAGACTGCATCACTCCCCATACAAAAATAATCGGTACTGTTTCTCCATTCCAATTATAAAATCTATTACATTTTAAAACATCCACCAAAATATTCCGGAAAAATATAAAGATTTACGTGAGCTGAACCGAATTGAAAATACCTCTAAAAATTAAGTTTTTTATGAATAAAAATGGTTTCTTAAAGATTTTTTTTTTGAAAAAATCCCCTCAAATAACAAAACGATTTAAGCTTAAAAAATTTGCATAAAAATATTCTTATAAAAAATATTAAAAAAATTGTAATTCCGGCGGAAAAACAAATGTACACAATTTACCACACAAATATTTGCGCAAATACCAACTAGTACAAATAGGAATCGAATAGGAACCTTATTTCTGGTAATTTGTATTTGCCCAAATATTTGTGTGGTGTCCTGTGGGTCCTGTACTAATTTTGTTTAGATGCGATAAATGGATCGTGAAGAAATTAATGATAATCTTAAATTTTTATATGAGAATTGATGACGGTTTCATTTTTTGCTTAAAAATTACTTGTTCATATTTTAATTTGTATAGTGCTCTTCCACTATGGGCAAAAGTAGGGAGTTGACACTCATTCAACAGCAGTTAACTTTCAAAATTTGTACTGAGCGTCTACAGTTAACTACCGAATGCGAGTTCTCTGTAAAAGCGTTAACAAACGGCAGCGTTGATCGGGATTAACTCGGACTTAATCCGGGTCAACTGCAGTAAATTCCCGCTGCCGTCTGTTTATGCTTTAAATATGGCCCTGAAAATTTAATTTTCTTCATCTTCAGTTAACCACTACAAAGGAAGTTTTCTTCTGGAGATAAACTTATTAACAATGTCTTTAGTTTAAACCAATCCCTGATACGATATTCGAGCTAGAAAAATATATGTTAGTGTACTCGTATTCACAGTATTTAGCTGCTCTAAGAGAAAAAAAACGAAATCATTATCTATGCAAAGTGGTTTGTATAAAACTTCTCATTCTAGTAATTTTTCACTTCACTGGTTCGTAATTACACAGAATTAAAAATTTCAGTAAACTTTTTTACCCAAGAAAAAAGTGCGCTGAATTCAAATACTTGCTTAGTTAGATTTTCGTTCGGTCGTCAGAATTTCAGAATTTTGCACATAGCGCTCGACCGTCTTTCCGGTACTTAACTCGTCTGTTACCCAAGAAAAAGAAACAGTTTTCGTTGGACCTGACAGAAGACAAGTAATTTTTAAGCAAAAAATATAACCGACTTCTATTCTCATAAAAAAATTAATATTATCGGTTAATTTCTTTAAAATACAATGATCGGATTTCAACTTAGTGTGGTACCACCTGTGATGTAACACCGGAACGGTTAACGTGGTCCAAAGTTATGCGGTAACATACATCAAAAAAATATATGTATTCGGATGAATTGATAACCTTCTCCTTCTTGAGAAGTCGGTTAAAAAAAAAAAACTGATGGACGACAAGAACTTTTCGCGATATTTTAGACCCATAGAAAAAGTAGTATGGGAATCTCTCAGGACCATCATCNCGGATGAATTGATAACCTTCTCCTTCTTGAGAAGTCGGTTAAAAAAAAAACTGATGGACAACAAGAACTTTTCGCGATATTTTAGACCCATAGAAAAAGTAGTATGGGAATCTCTCAGGACCATCATTCACAATTTCCTTGGCAACCAGAAAAACAAAAACTACAGGCCACTTGTCGCGGAATTGTTGCTAAATTACAAGAAAATTTGCGGTCGGTCGTATGACGCTTAAGATTCATTTTCTGCATAATTCCCCTCTATATTTCTTGTCGGAATATTTGCGTGATACGAGTGAAGAGCACGGCAAGTGGATCTGGAGAGAGTTGAGAGCAACTACCAAGGTTTCTGAGACGCGGACATGGTGTGCGCCTATATCTGGAGTCTATTACTTTATATAGACACACAAGAATATAAACGTAAAAGCTACACCGCACTTCATTTCTAAATTTTTAGTTATTATTGAATAAAATTACTATGTCTGCCAAAAACCGCCATCACCTTTAACGCAAAAAACAGTCTTCGGACTTGAAATCAGCATAGAAAATTATCCCAGCAACACACTCTACTTGCTCAGATACAATACCGTATATTCCCGAGTTATTGTTGAATTATTTCCTTGTAATATATAACGTAAAATTTTTTGCCACATAATTCATTGCCTTTTGTTTTGTAAAAGACACAATATTAATTTCCGCTTGAATAAGTGAATACACAGCCGTACTCATTTTGAGCAAAATGGGGTTACTTTATTAAGTTTTTAGTAGACTTTTTAATGAAAATGATTGTGAACTGTTTAGGCAACTTAAAATATTTTATATGTAATATCTCCGAATTTGTTGTGTGACTTATATAAAGCCTTTTGTTTTGCACTTTAACCGACTTCGAAAAAAGAAGGAGGTTAACAATTCGTCGGAATATTTTTTTTGTGTATGTTGCCGCCTAACTTTGTACCACGTTAGCCGATTTCTACAATTCTCCTCTTAGAGGAAAGTTGGTATCACAGAGATGCTCCCATACTAATTTGGTTTAGATCCGATCATTGGATCATGAAGAAATTAATGGTACTCTTAAATTTTTATGAGCATTTAAGTCAGTTTTCTTCTTCGTTTCACAGTTATTTGTTTCGAACACAATCTTTCTGAAACAAAAACAAAAATAATGGTGCCAACCGTTATGCAGTTTGTTACATAATGAAAATAGGATTTTAACAGTATCTTGGCAGTAAGATTAAGCTGATGCCAGATAAAACACTTGCTTCGCTTTGCTTTACAGATTCGCTTTGACAGATAATATGAAATGTATGAAAACGCACAAAGCATGTCACATTGATCATTTCAGCTGCAACGCGAAGCTAAAAGATGACCAATTCCGATCTTTTTGCGTGCGTTCACCAACAGCTGGTTTAGTATTTATTTTGTTTTGTCTAAAATTGAGTTTTCATGCAGAAACATAAAATTTAATTACATTGCTGATATTTTTAAAATTAAGTACTTATATAAAATGCAAAGTTATAAATGTCACGCAAAGGCAAAAAGTTTTATCTGCGTTTTTAATGCGTTGCAAAAGCTAATTATCTCTATTTTTAAAGTTATGTGACAGGTTTTTTTTTTATCATAAACTAAAAATTTATAGGCATTTGAAAAGCTTGATCGATGAAAACTTCGCTTCGACAATTCAAAGGGGCACATGAGTTTTTTTAATTCTATTTTATTATTGTGCACACGCGTAAGCTTTCGATATCGCATAGCTTTTTAATTAAAGTCTCTAATTTTTTACTTTTTTCCTTTTGCTATTGAAAATTTTTTTAATTGATCAAATTAAATACTTACTGTCTACAATGTTTAACGGTATAATTTTTATTAAATCGCACAAGCTTATAGGAGCATCAATTAAATGGGCTGTACCTGAATCACTTGAAGTTCGATTTTTGCGAAAGCCACAAAAATTCTATAGCTTAATCCGTAAAGCTATGAGCGTAGAATATGTTTTCAATTATAAGTTCGTAGCAATTCGGGATTAAGTTTTTTTTCCGTAGATTTCACAAAAAATCGAACTATGTTCGATGCAGCAATAGAAACGATAATTAAAGATTTACATACGCCATGCTACACAATCACACATTTCAAAAATAAATTTACTTCGCGCTTTCGCAGGCTCACGGCTTTTGCTGCTGTTATTGTTGGTTTTTATTACAAAATTTTTATCATATATGTACATATGTATGTATATACATATACATGTAGTATGTATGCACATTCATGTGTATTTGCGTATACTTTATTCAATAACCGGCATCCATCCATTCAATGTTGTTGTGACATTTTCATTGAGCAAACAAACACCAGCATAGCCGTTCCGCAATCCATGCGCAGCTATTACAAATAGCTCACTAATTTGTAACTTGCGTTCTTTCAATATTTTCATTTATTTTTTATTCACTCTCTTCCTCAACGCACAAATTTCCATTTCAATTCACACTAGTCACTGTTTACAATTTTTATTATTCAATTTATTTTCTTATTTCCTTTTAATCTGTTGCACTTGCAACAAATGAGGAACTTGCACTTGTCGCCGCAGGCGTATGCCACTCGTATATAGTTACCGATATATGCATGCGTATACTATGTACATATATTTTTATGTGTATGTATGTATGGGGGAGTACACTTGTTTTTATTTGTGTGCGTATGTCCGGTACACTGTGCGTCACTCTAATTGCTGCCACTACCACTACAACTACCACCGCCACGCAATTAACCGTCCAGCGTCAAAAACCAAACCGACTCCGTTTACAGCTCGAAGGCAAATAATACCCGTCCCACGGTGATAAAACATAGCCACCAGCATCTTGTCCAGTTGGAACACAAGCGCACCAATTGGCGGTGGTTGAGGGTTCGAATGCAACGTATAGCAACAACGCACAATGTTTGATTGCACCGTTTAAGAGAGCCATCGTTTAAGAGCACGCCAGAGAGAATTTGTGATTTCTAGGCACGATTTGGTTTGTGTTTTAATTTGTTTTATATTACATCTAATTTTTATAGCTAATGAAATTTCAAATGCTAGTACAATGAGTCATGAATACATTGATTGACATGTATGTATATAATATTTATGTATTTAAATTTTAATATGTAAAATATATATATATCAGTCCACCTACTTTTTCTCTTCGAAATAATTCCACGCTGAATATTCTCTTCTTCGCACTTAAGTCTGAAAACGATTTGTTATTGGGCGGAGCAATGGTTAAATGCGCATGCGCACATTCATACATACATATGTATATACATGCAAGTAGCCTATGGGAAAAATCTTACCGGGCGGCGAATTGGGAACGTACGTGCATATTTACATGTTTGGGCGAAGTTGTAAGATCTGTAAACCCAAAAAAACCATTTGAAGTCTAGATGGACAAACAATCTGCCGCACAGCGTATTATGTGTAGTTTTCTAATAGGGTCTACGAGTGTCTCCTGCAGCATGGAATTTCTTACAGAGCCCAGTCCTCCTAAACTTTACAGAGCTTCGATCTTGCACAGTCACATTCACAGCAGATGTACTGAGGTTAGGGTCGCTATTTTATCAAAAATATGTAAACCGGAACAGCTACCCATGTCCTACCGATCAATTAGCCTCAGCTACTTTCTTCTAGAAGGTATGGAGAAAATACTAGATAGTGTATCAGAGAGGAGAATTTCCCTTCCTCTGAATAAGAATAAATTTACCTATCTACCAGGTAAATCCACTGAGACTGTCATTCATAGGTTTTCTTTAGAAATTGAAAAAGCTCTGGAGTCTACAAATATAGCCCTTTGTGCCTCATTGACATTTAGGGGCTTTTGATAACACACCATACAAGGAAAATGATGACGCTTTGTTGAGAAAGTGTGTAAGTGAGCCCAATAATAAATAAATGGGTTCTATCAATGCTAGGAAGACGTAAAATCAGCACGGAATTAGGAGACACGACAGAATCGATAACAGCCCTCAATGGAGCACAGAACTATATATATGGTAAAACTGGGGCTGGCATATTTGCGCCGAAATTCAAAATATCGATACTTCACCGCCTTTCAAGCGGAGATTCGTGCATTTTGCCGGACAGTCATGCAGCCCTGTTGGTACTTAAGTCCCAAAAAATAAATTCTCAGTTAGTGAATGACCGTTTCAATGTCCTACATGTGCTTTGAGCCAAGAATATAGATTTAATAGAAGGGGTACCGGGGCATGGGAGACATGATGGCAAGGAGGAGGCTGAGTGCCTATCGAAATCAAAGCACACGAAAAGCGGATAAGTAGACAAAATTTTTAGCAGACACTGGATGGAATGCCTAGTGAAGAGACAATCCAAACGATTTATCTATTGTTCAAAAGATTGAAGCTTCTTAATTTAGGCAGAGAGGACCACAAAACTATTAATGGGTAGTTAATTTTACTCTATAGAAATTGGGAAAAATAGTAAAAGAGGCAATTCGAGTTTTTGAAACGATGAATTTTAAATTTTCTTTGCTTCCTGTTTTGGTAAAAAGTTGACCTAGCAACCTTTCACTCTAAGCTAAATTTATTTGTCTTTTGCCCATTGCTATTTTATCAACGGCTCATAGTGTCTAAAAACCTTCGTTTGCTGAAAAATCGGATTGGGACTGGGGCGGTAATAGTTATAATAAAATAACTTAAATTCGAACTTAATCATTATTTTGTGGTTTTTAATTTTTTCGGTCAAAAATAATAATAAGCCTCAAAATTTGCAAGTCAAAGTTTCGGTTGATTGTATCTGTATGGCCTACCAAGCGTTATAAATAATCATTATTTTTATTTAAGTGCCACCAAGCAGATTAATTTATCGGACTCTGAGCCCGCTCGGCTCTAAGTCTCTAACTTATCGGAAAGTTGGATAAAAATTGATTGCAAGATTTGATTACACACAGGTGTAACCTAATAAAAGCTTGTAATAATAATTATTTTCCATCACTGTATTAGCAGCTTCGCATCTGATCTGTACTGAAATTGTTTGGCTATTTTCGATTATGGGCTTTTAGTTTGGAATTGAATTAAAGGAAAAAGTATATGTATTTGAAACTAATATAGCTAAATAAATAGTAATCTTCTTTACAGGTCTATTCTGCGCGTTACCGAAGATTTTGTAACAGGAAAATTTTATTACCAAAAAATGTTACCAGTTCTTGTCACCGCGATACGTACGTTGCAGTTAAAATATACAGCAATTCAGCTATGAAGAAATGAAGAAATTCTAGCATTGCATATTTTACGGGGCAATACTTTGTTACCAGCTTATGCCATGGTAACAAAATTTACCGGTTACAAGAGTACACGCCATTCGGAAAGGGTTTAAAATTAGACAGTAACTTTATTTACCGATTGTAAACAGAATAGATCAGTTAATCAATAGTACTCTCTTCCTAAGCATGAAAAAGGCAACTTCCATAAAATCCGTTCCCTGCTGATCGCGCTCTCTTAAATTTTGCTGCCTTTCTCTTAAACACATATCTTCCACTCGTCTCCTTAACTTCTCAATTTCAAAAGTATTCACTTCCTAAAGACTCATCACAACCGCCCCAGGTACATGGTAGTGAAAAGCAAGTTTCATTCATAAGCGTATGCACCACTTTTAAAGCGGTTGTGCCATCGTAACAGTAGCACAGCACTAAAACAACAAAGGCACAATAAAAGTACAAATGCCGTAGGGGAATCTGCGTCGCGCTGATTGGTCGGTTTTTGCTTGTAGAAGCGAACACAAAAGCCATGAAGAAAGGAAACTCTTATTGGATTTTGTTCGTTATGTGTTTAGCCTCACCATTAAATACTGCACATGCAACTAAATGGTCTAGTCGTTGCAAATGAGCGCTCAATCCATTAATGATGCAAGAAGTTGAAGTAGCCTACGGCACAAAGGTGTTAACGCCATTGCTTTTTTTTTAGTGTTTTAACATTTCAGTTGCAGTTTTGGTTTGAAGATGACCTGCATTAAATAATAGGGGAGCATCAGGAATGAATAAGTTTCCACTGAATGCTTTAATGACTCATCTGTTCAATGAGAAATTGTTGTAGTTGACAAGAAAAAAAATGCTTCCTTAAAAAAATTGTTTTGGGCTTATTTGAAATCGCATACACACTTACATTTGCATAATTTACCAAAAAAGCATTTTCGAGATAAATATGCATATGTATATTGGCAATCAAAACTTAATTAATGGTATTTTTTTTTTTAATATTTGATTTTCAAGTTATTTTTTTTTGTTAATTTTTAATAAAACTAACACAGCTAGTACAATAAAAACAAATTAACTGCGCATAACAATTAATTTTACTGTACAGACTTATGCGTCATAATAAGATCTATATTACAAAACCCTAATTGTAATCACTCCAACCTTAGGCTACTCAAAAATCTAAGCACTTGGACGGTGCCCTATTCGTTCGCCAAGGTGGATCAGTCTACGATTCATGTTTCGTGGGCAGGCACATAGAATAAATATATTCTGGGGTTTCCTCCACCAGCCCACAAAACCTAGAGTCCGTTTCTACAGAAAGCCCAATTTGATTCAAATGGTACCTTAACTTGCCATGTGCTTGTCTCATTATCTTCTCAGCTTCTAAATAGTTCTGCAGTGTATCCTTTAGATGTGCCGCAGAATGGCTCCGGACCATGGATGCGCATTTCGGCTGTACGCTTTGCGACACACTCAGCCCTTTTGTTACCTTCAAATCCTTCATTTCCCGAAACCCACCACAGTGTTACGCTATTGTCGGCTCACAGATGGTTCAGGAGTCTACAGGTCTTGATGCTGTTTTAAAAAAGCCTAAGGCCTTTAACACTGCCTGAATAGCCGACATCATATTTATTCTGGCCCCATTTGTCCTTCTACGAATATATTTGCGAACACAGACTTCGATTGCACAGACCTTCCTCCGAAATATGGCAGGGTATGAGCTCATTGGCAGACTTTCCTGGAATCTTGGTCTAAGTACGTCATAAAGTACATATGGATATTTATGTTTATATTGGCAATAACAAGGTTGATCAAATATTTGGGGATACGTATTTTCTATTTTTCGCAAATAACTATTACTCATTGTCACGGAACCTACCAAAATCCAATCCAGCCTACCAACCTACCAAATGGAAAAAAAACTTACCAGTTTTGGTAAGAAAAGCTCATGTGGGGCAACACTGTTTGTGATACCACTTCTAACTTCTAAGTTAGAGCATGAATCACTGAGT